TTGATTCATTTTGTGTTCCCAAGCCTATAGATATATACAATTAGACACTAAGATAATTATCCTTTTCCTCATGTTCACAAGATTGATTTGGTCACTCTAGCAAATATATCAAGTCACAGTAAACATTCGAGACCATCCCGTCTGTGTAGGCACATGTTTCGACATTTCAGTAAAAATAAACAAATGTGGTTTTGTAGAAAGTTACAAAGTAGGTTCTAGAGAAAAATCCTCTTGTCAAGACGGTGTTTTTATCTGTTTGCTAGCCGTTTTTGAAAAGATAAAGATCTACATGAAAGGTCTACTTCTCAGTTTGAAATAAGTCCCTTCATTTTGACAGTACAGACGCAAAATTAAAGTCCCAATCTCAGAGCCAGGGTTGCACACGGTATTCCTCTCCCTTTCTCTCCGTCTCCTTCACTGCATGTCTCACCCACTCCCTCATTTACTCTTCAAAGGGAGAGCAAAGCATCTGTCTATTACGAGGAGCCCAGGGCGCTCTGCAGAGTTGTGTTAAGTAATAACAACCAGTGACGTCAAAGGCTCTCCGTCTGAGCTGGAGAGAGGGAGGGGGAGGAGGGGGGAGTGAAAAAAGGGATAAAAGGAGAGCAATAGCGTGTGAAAAACCTCCTCTACTTGTGTGTCAGTTGCCCTTCTGTTGTTTATGTGTCGCTGCTGTGTTACACCAAGCCTAAACACTGTGCCACAACTAATTCTGTAATCACTAGACTTCAACACATATGTGATTTATGTTCCTTCTCTCTCTCATCTCTGCATTGATTTTTCCCCTGGCAACATACTTATTTTCCCCCCCACTGGTTCAGAGAAAAGCGGAAGTGGTCTATTATGCTTCGTCACATGTCTGCTGCTGAGCATAATTCTGTTTATGGTCCTATCACAGAAGCCTATATGTTTATGTCATAGGCTAGCAGCGAAGGAGGACTGCCTCTGTTGTCAGGGTGAGGTTTTGGATACAGGGATGCTAAACTAATCCAATATAATTTTGTTCACTGATGGTTTTTACTTCATAGGATTTTATTACAACACTCAGGTGAGCAACATCATTAAGTAAATTACTAATTTAAGTTAATTACTCCCTCTATTCAGTTTCCTAGAATCAAAGCACAGACTCTGACTGAAGACCGATTGGAGGATTAGAGATCTTAGGGTGTTACAGTCCTTCATAAGCACAAGTGACAGGAGCGGCACTCAGTGCAGGATACATTAGAGGATTACACACTAAGACAATATAGCAGTCTTAACATGCTTCATTATGGCTGCTGACCTTGCTCTGTCAGGTGACAGCTGTTTGTTACGACTGCAAACACCACAAGCAAGCGTGCACTTAGGCCTAGGGGGAACGAAAACGGGTTGAATCCGCATATTTCTCATGCGTATAGCCCTTTAAACTAGACGACGCCGTAACGGAAACGTAGAAACAGACCCTGCAAACGACAACGGGTCCAAAGGTGGATAGATCTGGGAACGGAGCGCTCTGGGGGGTCCAACGGGGCCGTGTGGTAGCCTATACGGTCATCCGTTTCTGATAATGACAACGCAATAGCCCCGCCTCTCCCCGCCTCTGCTGCTCACCCCCGCAAAAGTACACTGCACACTGAATTCAGATTATTTATCTTTATCTCGATATGGACATAAACGCGAGTGAAGTCTAATCTGACAGGACGGAGACACGCAGCTCCTCCCGCTGTGATGCAGCTGGAGCAAAACACACACTTCAAGTCAGATCATCACCCTTAGCTATTTTAATTACCTCTCAAACTACCTAAACTAGTTATAAATATGTTTATTTTTACTGTCGGGTCACTCATTACAGGATCAGCTGCTGCATGAGACAGACACTGACGCTGTCAGAAGAGAGGAAAAAGAGACAGGCTCCGTGTATTTTATGACTATATATCATTATATCGTCGTTATTCATTTGTTTTAAAGCTCAATAAATAACAATGAAGACCTTTGACCGGCACTTTTATAATTTTGTCCGGAAGATTTAAACTTTAACACACGTTGACCGGCGAAAAACTCTGCCCGGTTCTGTCGGCCCCCACCAAGGAGAATAAACAGAAGTGCAGCCATGACAACCATTCTTCTTCGCTGCTTTTGTGGAGAAAGTTGCTGCTTTTGTGGAGGAAGTTACAGCGCCACGTACAGGTTCGGCATATGTACTGCAGCTTTTCCAGCGGTTGGATGTAAACGGAGCCGTCTCGTGGAGCTTGACACAATCCGGTGTATATTGCGTGTGGGCGGAAGCTTTTTTGCGTTTGCGTTTGCGTTACTCCGATGCGTTTTGCCGTATGCGTTCCCGTGGAGCCGGGGCCTTAGGCCTAGGCTCCACGGGAACAAAAACGGGTTGAATCCGCATATTTCTCATGCGTATAGCCCTTTAAGCTCGACGACGCCGTAACGGAAATGTAGAAACAGACCCTGCAAACGACAACGGGTCCAAAGGTGGATAGATCTGGGAACGGAGCGCTCTGGGGGGTCCAACGGGGCTGTGTGGTCGCCTATACGGTCATCCGTTTCTGATAATGACGACGCAATAGCCCCGCCTCTCCCCGCCTCTGCTGCTCACCCCCGCAAAAGTACACTGCACACTGAATTCAGATTATTTATCTTTATCTCGATATGGACATAAACGCAAGTGAAGTCTAATCTGACAGGACGGAGACACGCAGCTTCTCCCGCTGTGATGCAGCGGGAGCAAAACACACACTTCAAGTCAGATCATCACCCTTAGCTATTTTAATTACCTCTCAAACTACCTAAACTAGTTATAAATATGTTTATTTTTACTGTCGGGTCACTCATTACAGGATCAGCTGCTGCATGAGACAGACACTGACGCTGTCAGAAGAGAGGAAAAAGAGACAGGCTCCGTGTATTTTATGATTATATATCATTATATCGTCGTTATTCATTTGTTTTAAAGCTCAATAAATAACAATGAAGACCTTTGACCGGCACTTTTATAATTTTGTCCGGAAGATTTCAACTTTAACACACGTTGACCGGCGAAAAACTCTGCCCGGTTCCGTCGGCCCCCACCGTGGAGAATAAACAGAAGTGCAGCCATGACAACCATTCTTCTTCGCTGCTTTTGTGGAGGAAGTTGCTGCTTTTGTGGAGGAAGTTACAGCGCCACGTACAGGTTCGGCATATGTACTGCAGCTTTTCCAGCGGTTGGATGTAAACGGAGCCGTCTCGTGGAGCTTGACACAATCCGGTGTATATTGCGTGTGGGCGGAAGGTTTTTTGCGGTTGCGTTTGCGTTACTCCGATTTGTTTTGCCGTATGCGTTCCCGTGGAGCCGGGGCCTTAGTCTACACACTACTAGAGGGTGTATACTAGCATTAAAAGCAGCTACCCAAGAATGGCTATGTGTTTCTTACTCTATAGAGGACGTGAGGAATTATATTGTGCTGAGCTGCTTACAGTAAACAACCCAGAAGGCCTTGCCAGGACTGTGGAAGTCACTGTGATGTTGACAGTCAACACACTCTTCCACCCACTTCCACTTTAAGCTATATTGTTCTGAAACCACAGGGCAATGTCAAACCATATAATCTCTCCTCTGTTCTGCCCCTGCCCGATCTATCATCTGTCTGCATGTATTTGATCCCTACAGCACTTTCCAGGCGAGCCCTTTCGCACACATTTACAGCTAGCACATGACTGCGCTTGGCAAATCTAAGTGCTTCAGGAATGTCTAAAAGTCCACTCGGTCAGCAAGCATACAAAACTTCAACAGACTTCCTTTTCCATTACAGGCACAGCTGCTGTGATGATAACACAATATCACACTGAATGATATCAGGGAATATGAATAGAAAAGAACAGAAAAGGATCAGTAAGTCCTTTATCTATCAATAAATGACGCCAGTTTTAGGAGACATTATAATTAGAAAGAACACTTTCTCCTCTGTGACACTTACAATAATCATTAGGAGACATTATGTTTTGTTATTGTTCTTAAATCCAAAAATATGTATATCTTAAGACGTCCCCTCTAGTCAATACAAAAGTTAGTGTGAAGTTACATTGACATTGTAGAGCAGTGACTTCATATCATGAACATACAACTATGTGTGTTGGTGCACTTTAAATTTGGCAACAACGTGCGTTCAGGCGAGCGATGACGTGCACAGCCTACATCAGCACCTTGGATACGGGCACACCATTCACCGTAGGGCTCCTGCCCCGTTTTAGACCAATCAGCGACTGTGTTTTCTAGATAGCATTCAGCACCACCCACACTGCTGCCAGCTGTATTGTTCCGCTATGGGGAATCTCCTCTCAGGCAGTATGCATTCATCATAACTCCTGCAGATTTTCGTGACCTGTCACTGCTCTATGTGAATAATCTAAGACAAAAATGAAGTAAAGCATACGATGAAGCCTAAATTAGATCATAGTCGCGTATACGGCTCATTTTTAGTTGTAGGCTAGATACTCTGTGGTATAAACAAGGCACATGCATTAAAAGAGCAGCGAATCATGAATACAGTGCTAACGTTGATCAGTTTATAGAGCGTCCCTAATGTTGTCTAATTGTGATAGTTAGAGCAATTTATAGGCTATTCTGGTCCTCGAAAATAGAGATGGTTTAGTCGGAAAACAATCTACAATACGTCTTTTTCATATTGACACATCATTTTGTTTCAAGACAACTCAAGACCGTCAAGGTTTTTCTTCATAGAACACCGTTTCTGTGTTCAAAATAATTACTTTAGCCTTTCACTGTCAGCACAGACCTAGGTTATCTCTGACGCAACCGCTCATCACAGGCGTCTCTCCCATTTCACAGAATCATATGTCAGGGATTGACATTTCAAGTCAGCCAATCAGCGCATAGCTCCGGCACCACTCACGGGGCGGAACTTTCCCTGTGGGCCAATCACAGCCGCTAGTATTGTTTTGACCTCTGAAACCGCATCACCGCCTACCTCGTGCCCATGGCGGAGGAAAGCTATAAATACAGGCAACGCTGTACCAGGAGTGGGACGAAGTAGCATAACTCCCGGCGAGGCGGGAGCTACTCTGCAAGCCTGCTGAAAGAAGAAAACAAAAAAACTCAAAATAACCTTAAAAACAGAAACCGAAGCATACGCCAAACCTTCGAAATGTACATGTACTGGACTACTTTTTTGTAACGTTGATAATATATTCTATGTGAAGAAAGTATTTATACTTTTTTTTTCTATTTGCACTAACTAACGGTACTTCAGAACTACTGAGAATCTTCATTTTTTACAAAAAAGTAAGTATTTCCAGCTGACTTCCTTCAGTTACATGTGATGCATTCTTTGATATGACTGTCTTTATTTAGCTTGCTGTCGTACTCAAGCTGTACCCATACTTACTAAGCTGATTTGCTGCGTCAGTACACGAAGTTAGGGAGGGGGGTGTGTGTAAGTATTGTGTGTGCAAGTGTGTGCGTGTGACAATTTAATGTTCTTTTTGTATTACCGAAGATAAAAAATACAACATGTTTATCTCCCAGAGACTCTCTTAAAGTGCTCGTTAATTCACACTCCAGCCTACCATATTGTACGCCATTGTATTTGCATTTTCATGGGTGTTAGGCTTAAAGGCAGCAGTGAGCTATCATTATAGTTTTGCATATTTTGTGAAATTGCAACAGTGTTCATCTTAAGCTAACTAAACTGATAAGACTGATCAAGACCTGTAGCCATTTCGCAACAGTGAGGAATCTCCTCTAGGCTGTTTTTGAGTGCAGTTGAAGGAAGGCGATAAATGTAGCAGTTATAACGTTATCCCTGTGCCGTATTTATTTCCTTTATTTTATAAATGTATCAACTTGTATGTATTTAAATATCCTCGACACATACACTCTGCTTTCCTCTACTGAGCTCTTTTCCGTTGCAACGACTAATAGAGCACAGAATATGTCCTTTTAATTTGGTTTTATAGTTTCTGACATTAACATGTTATTATCCAATGTCATGTTGTAACTCTTAAGTATTTCGTGTGCAAAATTGCTAAACATACGGGTGTAGCCACAGACCGTTAAGTCTTATTTCAAAACTGTTTTGTATTGTGACAAACGCTCCTATACGAAAAAAACAAGCCCCAGTGACACGATTTTACCCCTTAAAAAACACTTTAACCATTTAATAGCTAATTCATCCTCAAGTTATCAGTATTTACCATGCATTTCCTCAGTTGAGTTGACCTTTTCCTTTGATTAAATGCAACAAACCCGCATTAGTTTCCCTGTCTCCTGCTGAATAGAGGCTATCCGGTATCCTATTATGTAACAGGATTCTCGAGTATTAGTGCGAGGTTAACGTTCTCAATACCTACTATTTGACATGTACGTAAACCCAGTTTGCCACATTAGCAAGAAATATATAGGTTGAACACAGATCAGTGGGCTCTGTGTTTGATATTTGTGCAACAGCTGCACATTTCCTATCTGAGTGTTGTGAAATTTTGCTTTGGTTGACAGTTTCGACATTGAACTTATGATATTTGAGCTCACAGCAGTCAAAACAGCTACATGCACTGGTACCACAGACAGTCAGTTAATAACTAAAAGACACTATCTTACCATCTCCTTTTATAAAGTCTTCAATAGTGGTCTGTATCAGCCAAAAGGTTTCATGACCTGATCTGGCTTTTTAAAATGATGGTGTTGAATATATATTTTGAGTTCACTTTTGATTTTGTGTAAACATTTGTGAACCAAATAATTAAGAATGTTTTTTTCTCTTTCTATTGTTGCAGGAAACTATTAATCACACCCTGTGGGAGGACATCACTTCACTTCAAAACCAGCACTTTTTTTTAACCTGTTTTATCAACATCTACTGGTTGCTTTGACCATCCTGCCTGGAGAGCATCTGTGTTGCCAACCACGGATAAACAAAGCAGCCCCAGTGGACACATTCAAGGTCAGAAACACCCAATCTTCACGCACCTGGTAAACTTCGGCAGTTAGCTATGCAGCTTGAAATCCAAGTAGCTCTCAACTTCATCATCTCCTACCTTTACAACAAGCTGCCGAGGCGGCGGGTTAACATTTTCGGCGAGGAGCTGGAAAGGCAGCTGAAGCAGAAATATGAGGGACACTGGTACCCCGACAAGCCATACAAGGGCTCAGGATTCAGATGTATCCACGTGGGGGAGAAGGTGGACCCTGTGGTGGAGAAGGCAGCCAAAGAGAGCGGGCTGGACATCGAGGATGTCCGCAACAACCTGCCTCAGGACCTCAGTGTCTGGATTGACCCCTTCGAGGTGTCCTATCAGATTGGAGAGAAGGGGCCCGTCAAAGTACTGTATGTCGATGACACCAACGAGAGTGGAGCTACAAATGGGGGGATTGATCTGGACAAGGAGATCAAGAACAGTTTCAATCCTGACGCGCAGGTATTCATGCCCATCAGTGAGCCTGTGAGCAGCGCCTCTCCAGGCTCCACCTCACCCTCTCCTCCTTTCGGCCACTCGGCGGCAGTCAGCCCCACCTTCATGCCCCGCTCCACGCAGCCTTTAACCTTCACAACAGCCACCTTCGCCGCCACCAAGTTTGGCTCCACTAAGATGAAGAGCAGCGGACGCAACAACAATGGCGGCAGTGGTGGCGGCAGTAGTGCTGGGAACAAGGTGGCACGCACCTCTCCCACCAACCTGGGCCTGAATGTGAACAGTCTCCTGAAACAGAAAGCCATCTCCACCTCCATGCACTCTCTGTACGGGCTGGGCCTCGGGGTGCAGCAGCAGCAGCAGCAGCAGCACCAGAAGCCCTCGGCCCTGTCCCCCAACGCCAAGGAGTTTGTGTTCCCCAGCCTTCAGGGCCAGGGCAGCCAGAGCGCTCTGTTCCCCGGGGACAGCTCGCTCAGCCTCAGCCCGTTGCAGTACAGCAATGCCTTCGACATGTTTGCGGCCTACGGTGGCCTTAACGACAAGTCCCTTATGGATGGCTTGAATTTCAGCTTAAACAACATGCAGTATTCTAACCAGCAATTCCAGCCAGTTATGGCCAACTAGTACACGTTAAGGTACTACTTAAGCTACTACTTCACACAGAAACGACCAGAGATAATGTGATTGGGGGGGGGGGGGGGGGGGGGGGGGGGGGGGGGGGGGGGGGGGGGGGAGGAAACAAACATAAATGCACATTATGAAAAATGGGGAAAAAAAAAAAAACGTGTAAACATGTCATGGATAAAAGGAAAAAGTGACTTGTCAGCTGTAAGATCTATGTAGGAGTCTAAGAGCATGAGCCCGAGGGTGAATTACTTTGCCCCCTTGAGTTATACCTTTAGTACAAGATGTCCGAGCTTGGTTACCTAAAACTTCAACATGCATCATTGTTATTTCATTTGCCAACCAAGCACAAAATATTTTTTTTTATGTGACGAAATGTTTTAAGATATAAAAAAAAAGACAAAAAAAACACCACCACAAGTCATGGCCTCTTTCAGTATTTAAACATAACTGGACAACGCCAATTTTTTCAAGAAATTGGCATAAATAAGTGGGATTTCCTGGTCTTTTTTCTATTTGTATAATTTAATTTAGTACAGAGTTTGTAAAATATCAGAGTATCTATTGTTTCTACGACATGGTATTGCATTTATATCTTTTTACTACTCCAGTGATCTGTGATGGCTGCAGCAACGTTATGTTTTCTTTTTTTATTGAAATTATAAAATGAATCCATCTTTAAGAAACACATGACTATTCTAAAGATTGTGTACAGAATATTCCGTAGTGGTGGGATTTAAGAATATTTGCTTTTTTGAAAAACATAAGAGTTGTATTTTCTGTTAAGAGTTTAAAGATTTTTGCTATATTATGGACAAAATGTAATCGTATATTAATTTTGTACCTACATTGTGCAATACTTGATAAAACAAACGGTATAACAAAGTATTTGGAGTCAGTGTCTTACATGTTAAGAGGAACTGATAGTTTATTAAGTTTGTATTAAAAAGCTTGAAAATAATTACACCTTGTCATTGATTTTTGTGGTGGAGCTGGTTGACTTTTTAAAGGAGTCATTTAGGGTTTTCTAACATGTCCGGACATATCCTGTATAGTATGCTGAGGGCGGAACAATCATGTTGTCCTGAATGTCACTGAATGCCTCATTGGTATGCCCCAGCAAACAGTTCGCTCACATTAGGTCAGGTTGAAAGAATGATTTTACTATTGTGTAAAATACCATGACACATTTCATAGCATCTGCCTGTTACTTCATATATTAGTACACAAGCCTCACCATGTGACCTCAGCCACATTTGTTCACACCATGCAGGTGCTGTTGCCCTTGGGCTAAGTGTCATCACACATATGGATAGTGGGAGTGTGATCGTGTCAAGCCTGATAACCTCTTGAACTAAAAGCAAGGCCTTATGTATGACGAGGCTGTTAGCGAACAGGCTGCTAACCCTCATTTGAGAAGCACAAACTACACAGCAGGCAGATGGAAACATGGTATTCCACCTCCAGGGATTCAGCATAGTCACTTATTAACTTTAATAATAAAATACATCATGCAATGCTGGTGGAAAACGGTACTAAAACATGTTCTGGGGAGTGTGTCTGAATGCTAAGCTGGTCAGTTACATTTCACCCAGTGTCCTCAAGGATGTGGCCTGTTAATGGATAACTGGCAGTGTTTTTTATGAAAAGAGATCCAAGCATGTAGTCCAAGGGGAGTATACTGTGGCTGGAAAAGGAGAAATTGGGGCCCAAACTCAAGAGGCCATCTACTGAAAGATTCATTGTTTATTTCAGATAAACTACATTTCAAAAAGTGCGTGTTTCCATCTTGTAAACCCAAAGTAACACTAGCTTTGCATTTTTCTTGATGCTGAGACGTTATCGGTTACTGCTGGTTCTGGTGGTAAGAGGTTGTTGATGCCAGCGCTGGCTGACTAACATCTCCCTGACCCTGCTGGCACATGGCGGTCCCTCTGGGGCGGGCTCATCATCGCCTGTCAGTCCGCGGGTCCCCTGATACACTTGGGGCTTGATAGGCTGTGTAAAGTGTGTGTGTGTGTGTGTGTGTCACTTGCTGATACTGTGAGTGTTTCATAGTCGAGTGGGACTGTTTGTTTATCGTGGTCTGTCACACTGTGTTTGTATGTATAATCCCCAGAGTGTGGAACAGGTCGTTCTGAAAACACCTTTTGATAGATTATTATCTTTTGCACATTCCTGATATATATCTGCAGCTTCTCCTTTTTTTGTTGTTCTTCTGAGCATCATAACTCAGGACTGTGACGAGGGGATTCATAAACCTAAGCTCTGTGTTTACCCTGTTTATGTTATTCTACACAGGGCGAGAATCAATAAGTTAGAGACCAGTGATGTCCTGTAGCTGTAGAAGAAAATAAGCGTGTAGTATAACCTTGAGCCACCATGAAAGGGCATCTATCAGTGTTTTTCAATCTCTATACCTTGAAATGAGGTTCTTATCGTTCTACTTGATGTTTCTATGCCTGATATTGAGCTGAAATAAAAGTGAAACTATTTCTGCTAGAAAAGCTTTTATATTAAGGGATATTGTATCTAGAATACAGTTTGATAAGGATTACTGATTATTTTGTTGAAATAATTTTATGATAATGTAACCTTGATCCCTATAAATATAACAGCCATGTTTCTGTTTGTGAAACAGGCACAGGGTCTTTCTGAGTACATTAAAACAACAAAGGTTACCATACTAACATTTTAAATATAAAAGTCTTAACAGCAAATAAGACTAATTGGTTGTTTAACTCATAGTCAAATAAGATTTGAATTAGTCATTTTTTTATGCTTTTTCCCAGGTGGACAACACCTAGTTTTTGTATAACTATTTGTGGATAAACAGATCTGTCGATTTAAATCAACCAATCCAAAAAGAACATTTTCTATAGTCCAGGACAGCCCTAAAGGGAGGCACAGACAAAAGAGAGTGAGGAAGTGTTAAATGGAGGATGTGAATGCCATAAAAGTATTGTACTAAGAATACCAGTGAGAAGAATATCCAAGTAAGACCAGGCTGAGAGTGGGATCAGAATAGCACAGAGACAGAAGCTTGATGAAAAGAGAGGGGATGGAGCTCTGAGCCTGGGAGAGAGAAGGAGTGAGAGTGAAACATTGCCAGCGCCACTATTGATGCTAATCCGGTGCCAAGCGCGCCCTCGGCCCCCTCAGCCCCCCCCCCCCCTGCGCTCGTCATAGAAACAGGTGGAGCTCAGCTCAGCTTGTGGCCGACAAGACCTTATGGTAATGTCATCCTCCTCAGCAGAAGAAAAAAAAACAGTTAATGGCTTTTCAGTCCCTCGCCTTAGTCCAACCCCTCACCCTGTCTATTTCTGGAAACACACTGCAGCTGATTGAGCGACGATAAGCTGGAGGGAAGTTTGCTTTCCTCTGAACATGACTTCACCACATGTTATCTCTATCTCACAGAGGACCGTAAAGAGGTTCAAAACACCATAAAAGAACTATCTATCATTCTTCGATTTGTTGCTTTGTAAATGTTTGAGAGGTGTGCAACAAGTACGAGGAATTAGACTTCTTACACTATTCAGCAGTAGAGGAAATTAACTACCTTTACTGAAAGAACTTAAGTAGAAATTATAATTACTTGTTTGAGTATTTACAGTATTTTCTACTTATACTCCACTACACTTTGGAGGAAAACGTTTTTTTTACTCCACTTAATTTCTTTGTTATCTTGCAGATTGACATTATCAATACAACAATGTCAATCAACATATAAATGATGTAAGTTTAGGCAATCTGTAGTATATAAGTCATTAAAACTAGCCCCACCTTTACCAGCTGAATCATTAAAGTGATTAACACGTGAATGCATCAATAACTACAATACAGTGATAAAATACTTATAAATGTGAGATGTGCCATTCTGTACTATGTTTGCTACTCTATTACTTGTAATTTAGTAGTAGATTGAATGCGGCACTTTAACACTGTTGCATTGCTTCTGTTAGGATGTGAAAGATATGAATACTTATTTCATCGCTGTTAATAAGTTAGAACATAACATGTGTTGACTGGTCTAACAGTCGAAGCTTAAGTGAGTATCAAGGGTACGGATACAGTTGCTGTAAACAGTTGCTCACACTGCCATTTGTGGCACACAAGCTGTTGCTGGTAGGCAGACAGGACACAGTTTACAGTCACTCAAATATATTCTGTACTAATACACCCTGCAGCTGGCGGCTGGCGTCTGCTCATTCAAACACAGCTAGGAAGGTTCAAGTCAAAATCAGGGTTATGGTCAAGTAGATTGTCACTCACAAGGAATTTACTTAGGTGTCTTCGTCGGTTACAAAATATATTTTAAAATATGTACAATGTAACTGTTTAAAATAGTATTGTGGTATTATAGAGTATTAAGAAAACGTGATTTTGTTCATGGTATCTGGTAAAATGTGTGTCTTGTTCGATACATTGCATGTCTGGTCTATCTAAGTAGGCAACTGCGCTCCTGTGTATACACAAAAACACTGATGCATCGTGGGAGTTGTCCAGTTTGCACACTGTAGATATCCCTGGCACACACTCAAGTGCCCAGCCCTTTAAACTGCAGCTGCTCTTATCTGCAGAAGGAAACCAAAAACAAACACAAAGTCCTCCACCTCCCCTCCATCACCACACCTCTCCGCCTGACGTACTTTGGCTTCCAGTGCAGTCTATCACGGCACTCCCATACCTGCCATGGGTCCACACGACACTTTGCAGCTAAAGGGTGGGAAAAGAGATCTAAGCCGTAATATTTGCAACAAAATAGCCCTGTGTAATCCGAGTTAACATGCAGATCAACTGTGGCTTTCTGCTGTTGTTGATACTTACAGCTACACGTGTTCTGCCTTATCAGGTAGAAATTGAGATTTCTCTCACAACTGATTGTTTAGATTGAGTCATGGTCACATGTCTTTACTGCTTTTGTGAACCGATAAGATAGTTATGTTCTAGCACAGACGTGTCAAACTCAAGGCCCGCGGGCCAAATGTGGCCCGCCACGTCATTTTATGTGGCCCGCGAGAGCTCGCAAAGAATATAAACAGTTTATTATACGGTTACATGCCGTTTAAGCACGTTGCCCATAAACTGCATGTCCCAAAATGCATTTCGTTTTGTGACGTGCGCACTGAAGCGACTTCCTATCAGCAGCGGCACTCTGAGGCGGTGAGTGAGCAGTGTGTGACTGTGAGTGACACAGAGTTGAAGGAACATAATTTACAGCGGCACAGAGACACCAAACACGGAGCAAAGTCTGCTTCAGCAACCGAGACAAGCAACTCCAGTCCCAGAACAAACAGACAGAATGACCCGCTCTTTAAGAATCAGTCGGTGTTGCTGCGGCTCAGAGACACACATGGATTTATTATGTTTTAGAAAAACTCGCGTTACGGTTATTTCCGGTTTCTGGTTGATTAAAATATATGAGGTCTTGGCTTGCAGAGTATGAACGTCTTTTTGCTATATTCAGACGATAAATACTTATAAATACTTGTGTAAAGTTTGTAAAGGAAGGAGGAAAACTTCCGCGATCCCTGTCCCCTCTCACTCTGTTCCTCCTCAACACGCCGCCGCCCCCCCCCCCACTCACTGCTTACTGAAATAGTGAGTGACAGGTGATAGTAACACAGCAGGATCTGGGACAGGGGGTTCTCAAAGTCTTGGCTTTCAGACTATTAAAATATTATTGCTGAATTCAAATGAAATATAGCCTTCTTAAATAATGCTTGATATACAAAAGAAAAATACTTTATTATTCACAAAAAATAGATTTCACAAACATTGTATCTCTTTTTGATAAGATATGATGAGGCTAACTACATTTCATAAATTCATGGGATTTATGTAACAGTAAGAGAGTGAAATGTTAGTCTGAGCCCACATACAGTATTTTTGTGTCTACGTGCACAATACATTAATGCACAACCATGTGCTTTCAGACGTAGTTATTGCCAAAACCAA